TCGTAAAACTTCTTTTCTTAATATTTTCTTTTTCTCTTTTGTAGTCAAACATTAATTTTATTTTCCTAGTGTAGCGAAGATGTCGGAGCTTTATTCAAAACGTGACCATACTATGGTGAGCAATGGAGCACGGCAGCATGCGGGTGAAGCCAGCATATGGACTTGGGAGTGAATTAGATAATTTGTTTTACTCTATTTATTATATCTTTCGCATTTTATTTTATTTTTAAAATTCAACCACTCTAGGTAGCATATTTTATTTTAACAGTAAAAATAAAGGTAAAGATATTTGTACATAATTTCATGTACCGAATTGTTTACCCCCTCTCACATGCACGCGGGTCCCGCCTAAATAAAAAAAAATCCCAAGATGTGGTCGTCACCCCCTATTGTGAGTAGTCGGTAAGAGATTAAGTAAACAAATTCGGTACATGTCCTAAAAATAAACATAGTAAAATCTTTGAACGGGGACTAAGTTTGAGCTCCAACTTAAGGTGCAAAACAAAAAAATCTTACCTCGGTTTGGAGATGGGGGAGGACAATATCAAAGCTAAAGAATTACACTTAATGCATCTTAGTTACTCATTATCATACACGGAGTGCAATATATATCTTTCTGACTCGTGATCACTTCCAAACTCGAGCTACTTGAAGAAGATTGATTAAATTTACTTTGGTACTTGAAGTTCAAGAAGTCCATATATAACTTCCTCACAGTCAAAAGCGTTATCTGTAAATTCCCTTGTTCTCGAGAAAGACGATGTCATTGCTCTGATATCTAGCCCCTATTTGGTATCAATTAAAGTTTTAATTTTAATTTAAGTTAAAGTCAACAATTAATTTTAACCATATAATTTATGGGTCTCACAACTTTTCAACCACACATTTCATCTACTTCTTTCAAAATTTCCTAAAAATCTGATTTTAATTCCCCCAAATACGGATTTGATATCTTGTTGCTCAAATAATTTTTAATTAATTTCCCAACCGATTTTTGTGCACTTGCTCCGGCAACAATGCAAAACCACCCTTCACGCGATGCTCCGACGCACTAGATATTGAAACATCTTCGTTCTTTTCTTGATTTCGATAGGTTTAATTGGACGTTCAGATTGAACCATCTGACTTTTCTATTGATCCCTCAATAATACTTTTAATTAACTACATTGCATTAGATATGTTGAGATAATCGAGTGCAAATAGGATATTCTTGTCTTTGCATAATACGTGAGATTTTTAATCCTCTTAAATAAAAGTGGAGATGGTAATTGTTTTTGGTTGATTTTCCTTTATCAAAATGGAGACATTGGATTTGTTCAATGTATTTCTTGATTCTACTCGATATCGAGACTTGTGAAACTTTGTACCTTTCAATGCTGTCACTTTGAGTTTTTGGATCATGATAGGGCTCGTGTTCGGTAAGGTCATTTTTCATGTTTAATAACATGCTCTACTGCTGCAAGATTTGACAAATTACTTACAATAATTAGGGTTGTCACGTAGGTGTAATATTGGTGAAATATGACATCAATACACGTGAGAATCCTCAGGGCTGCATGCGTACCAAGAATCTTCTATATTATGATTTATGCATGTTTTTCAAATGATTTTTAACTTTTATTTCTTTTTTACTTCAGTTTAAGCAAAGGAGTTTGTTTTATAGTATATTAAAGTCGTACAATTTTGGGGAAGAGTTTTTGGGTACTTTACGTCCCTATTTGGATTAACTAAAAAAGCTTATAAAAATTCAAATTATAGTTAACAATTAATTGTAATCACATATTTCATGAAACTCAAAACATTTATCAACTTTTTATAGTTAACAAGAAGCTTGACATTAATATGAATTAAAAAAAGGGTAATTGATGCAAAACGTCCATACCTTTGAAGGTTTTTGTGGAAAACGTCCATACTTTCGTTTTTTGCGCAGAACGTCCCTACCTTTCACATTCTTTGCGCTGAACATCATTTCTACCAATTTTTATCACAAATGACCATTATACCCTCCTATATAAATAAAACAAAAAAGAAAAATAAAGAATAAATTACAATCTGTTCCTAAACTTTTTTAAAATGCAAATCAGTCCAAATAAAATGGTGATTTTTTGCCTTTTTTCAGCCCAAATGTGTCCAAATTCGGCAGCCTCCGACCACCCAAGCCGCCGGACGTTGACACCAGTCAACAAACCTCCAATTCTCCCTTCAATTACCACCCAACCACTCCCAATTTCATCAACTGTAGTGGTCGGAATTAATGCTGAAAGTTCACTGTTCTCAAATCTAAAAATCGTCTGAAATTACATTCCAGCTACCCCATGATCGGAACTTACCTCCTATCAATTGCCTATCACCAGACGACTATACTCATGCCAACAATTTACAACAAACATAAAAAAAAAAAAAAAAAA